GGCGAAAATGCACGCGGTCAAAATGCACTCTGAAGGCGGCCATAGTAAATGAGGGCGAATTATTTTGGAATTATTTGTGCCGGCTGTTTCGTATTAGCTCGTTCGTATCCCCGGCTCGCGGTCCTTCACTACGGCTCTCTGCGTCTTTCCTTTGTGTATACACTCCTGTTTGCTTTCGCGCATTTTGTGTTGAGTTCGCGGACATCCTTTGCACGTCCTCATAAAGACAAAGTGGTACTCAAGGCTGTCCTTATACTCAGCGACAATGAAGAAATGTCGTTGTCGCAAGTCAACCTCTGCGGGATGTCGGTTCACCCAGAATTTCTAGGATATCTTTGAGTCAAATACTGACCGTTTATGATTTCTAGCTCATAACTTTCAGGAGATGCTGATATGGACGTATCGGAAGAGATGGAGGAGGTGAGGGAATTGCTATACGAAATGATAAAGAAGAACTTCCCCATGGGCGTATCCTCCTCGCATCTTGCTCAGAAGTATCACGAAGAGTGAGTTTAGTATTAATGTACTATATGAATGCTATGAGTTTCAAGAAAAATAGATTTAAGAAGTTTTGTACGCCCATTGCGCTACTTTGTGTCACCTTCATACTCAACTTTAGGTTCCACATACCTCTCTTTCCCACCCCATCTCCCTTTTCAGACTACATGCTGCCTTTTTGTACATATTCTACCTTGGCAAAAGGAAACGTGCTAGGTCACAAAAGGGGTGTGAACTTCTATGTGCTCTCTGCGCTATTTCGGTGCAACATTTTCAAAATTTTCCATATTTGCTAAGCGCTCTTTGACAAGGTGTTTTAGATTTTCCTAGTCGCCATTATGCGTGTATCTCAGTAGTTCTCGGGATCCGTGTTAACCGGTGGCGAGTTTCTTTCCAACACAATCAATTCAGTCGTTCTGCGATTGTCGTTCTTGATGCTGCGGTTGTCTGGATTTTTATGGGAACTGTTTATTATATTCTGTCTTCTCATGATTGTCAAAGGAAGCTTTTAGATGTGGTGCATTTGAAACGCTTTCCTTAGAGGCTGTCTATGAATTTTTTAAGCCATTGTCCTAGTACTATATATGAAGCCTACACGTCTCTGGTGTTAATCAATACCGTTTTTTGGGATGCGTCCTCGCATTCAACTTCCATTCAAAATCGTAAATGCGTATGCGGCCTAGATTTTATCTTGCGGTGGCCTGCCGATCTGTTCTTCAGTGCTTTTATCTTCGTAGACGAATTTGGCACCACTTAACCGACACGGGAGGAATGGAGGGCTCGGTTGAGCCGGGCTGTATCAATCCGGGTTTCGATCCCCGTACCATACGCGTTTGATAATGTGCTACTTGCTACCACATAATCCACCCTGCTTCATGTACAGTATGATTGATCAAGTCAAGTAGTTTCTTCTCACTACTCTTGAGGTATGAGTGAGTCTCAGCACTTTTTTTTCTTTTTCATAGTCTTTCTGAGAATTCAGAAGTTAATGACATCAATTGATCGACAGGTTTCAACGGACAACGACTAACGTCACCAACTAAGGGGAGGCAGCGGCGGGTGCGGGGCCCAGCGATGCAGATCGCGCATCGCAAACTATGAAAACAGATTTTCGTCGATGTTGGGGTAATTCTTGTCAAGGGCACGCAACAAGTAGTGGCACGGAATGACACGCAAGAAACCATTAAACCGGTCCTTTGCTTGTTCTTCTTTACTTTTTTTGTAACCCTCTCTAAGGACCATCGTGTCTGATCAGCCTTTTTTGTACTATTTAACCACAGCTGCTCTTCCTGAATTATTGCTATTTTGCTGAATTCGACATGCTATTGAGAAGTAATCGTTTCACTAATCATCATTTCAGGTATGTGTCAAAGGGACTCGGTCGTGAACTTCCTGAAGATTGGCTCGTCCAAGTCGCAGAAGCGGAAGAATTCGAAGCACAGACGAGAGGACCCCTTACGATACTTTTTGTACGGCTATCAAATACGACTTCGTACAAACGAGCGCCAATCCCAAACACAGATGTAAAAGGTGCTTATTAAATACCATTCGCGGTGAAATTTCCTATTATGGCATTGCTTTATACTGTAAATCAAAATCTTCCAGTGTTTTTACTGGGCTATGTTTACCGTTTCAAAAGCAATTATTGGGAGTGCAGAGGGGTGATGTTATGTTTGTTCTCTACCAAAATCGTTCTCGTTACTTCTACGACCAGTTTTGTTCCATATCCTTGATTTGGGTTCTTTTTATCTTCCGCCACCGTATATGGTCAAAATGTGAAGGAAAAAGAAAGAGGAGAAAAAAGAAGTTGCGAACGGTCATTAGGTGAAGGGGTGCAGCGTAGAAAGAAAGCTGTTAGGTTCAATCTCATGGTTCTCATTAGACATTATGTGAAACTTCAATTTATTCAGTCATGACCTCTGGGAGCATGACAGCTGATGCCGAACGAATGAAGCTACGGAAAGACCGCTACCCATTGCAGCATGCAGAAACTGTAAGTTTCGCTCTCTTTACTTTCTAATTTGAATGCATTACTTTTTCTGGTTTCTCATTCATACTATAAGAAGAGAGGAACTGTGGTTTCGTCATTTGTATTATGTGAACTTATAAATGGTTTTCGTGTTCGTTACCCTATTTGTGTTCCAGTTATCTACTTGTTCGACTTCGCTCCAACCGAAGTGTGACGTTATTGTTGTTGCTTTTGAATCGTCTAGAGAGCTGTATATACGCGCTGTAGCAGATGATCCTGTATTTGACTCCATGAAAATCGATATGCGTAAATTTTACGCGGAAAATTCGAGCGAAAGACGAGTTCAGATTTATGTAAGTTGTTTTTCAATCCATTCTAGGACAGTTAGGTTTACTTTTTTTTTCTCTGATTATTTTATTGAAATTGTTTATCCATGTTTTGCTTTTTTCGAACTGATCAGTGTATTGCTTTCTTCTTCAATATGACATACTTGTTTATTATGTTGATGTTTTGAGTGCAGGTAGAAGGCTGATATTAATATTGGTGAAAAATTATTTTAAGTCGGTAATTCTTCCGCAATGTTGTGATCCAACGCTACCTCACCAATAGGGACGAGCACTGAGCGCACGACCCCATTGCTACTAGGGCTAAGCGCTGGTTTTTTATGCTCTGATCAGTGAAAAATCTCTCCGCTTCTTGTCGTTGTTTTGTTAGGCGCGGTAGTTTTTACAAAATAAAACCCATCCGAGTCAAACTCACTAGTAGACATTTATTCACTGTTTCCCATATTCACTTTTGGAACATCTTTGCGCTGATGTCATGTTTCTTGTAGGAAGTATTGTCCGGTGGAGCGTATGCACTGTGTGATGCAGCTGGTGATTGGTTTCGTGTAATAGCTGTGGTTTGTTTTTCCTGATTTGTATCGAACGAATCTTTCCCCAATGATTGCATGCATGCAGGAACTGCCCCGTTCCGGTACAATCAAGTGCTTCTTTTGTGATGTTGGCGTATTCGGCGTGTATCCAGTAGTGGACCTCCGTCTTCTTCCCGATCCTGGCCATCCTATAATGTGTCGTGCGTTCACTTCATTTCATTTCCCTGCTGTTTTCGTTTTCTTACTGCAATGGCTTATATAATAAGGCAGACTATTTGTTCAACTACGTCTTTTTTATCGCTGAGTATTTTAACAACTTTCAGTTTGTTAGTTTTTGAAAGCTTCATTCCACCTCAGTTTATATGGTTCTAGATGGTGCTCTTGCCAAGCGAGTTAACCTAGCCGTACCTGATTATGCGATAGGTCAAGCATCAGATGATATCCTACGATCCGTTCTTTTCGAGAAGGATGCTATGGGAAACTATATTCCAGTTCGTGTGCAGGTATCTATTTTCTGCTCTTTCCATAATATGGCTTTAACACTACGCCCTACAAGGCACGGTTTTAGGAAGCTAAAGGTTGTGTTGAGCTCTCATTGTGAAATGTTCGTCATAAATGGTTTTGCGAGTAGGTCTGACCTATTATTCGACACTTTTAAACGAGTGCGGAACTGACCCGTTGAAACAGATAAAAAATGGAAGCCATGGGTACTTTTTGGCTCCAATTTTTCCAGTTACAACTAGAACAAATAGGAACATTTCGATTCTATAATAAGAAACTTTTGAAAAGTTCTGTATATAATAAGATAATCCTTTGGCAGTGTAGAGAGCACTAATGTACCCGCGGATGAATTGATACATATCGATGTACGGCGCTGTGCTATTTGACTAAGCTTTGGCCTGATCGCCGGCCACCCTAATTGCAGGTCGCCTTTCGATTTTATCCGACAGTGTTTGCTCTCTTTGACATTCCTCTGCTCTTTTACGCTAGTTTTTGCAACGTAGTTTATACTATCCTATAAAACCAAGCTCATTATTCTCAAAACCAAAATATTCACATTCAGAATAAACGCAAGAGAATCTTTCTAGCTGACTTCGTTGACGGACGCAGAGGTCGACGGTGAAGTTGTGTCCGTAGCCGACTTGTGGATGACTGATGGAAGAGCAGTTGTAGAAATAGTAATGACGAATATTCCAGATGGAAAGGAAAATAATAACATCGTGAAGTGAGTATCGACTTTCATTAATCTTTTTTTTGTTCATAAATTTTCTTTTTTAAATTGCCTTTCATATAAATCGTGGCTTAGGAAGTCAACACTTTCATTTTCTAAAAGTTTCGCCGATGAAGAGGGATGCTCTTCGGTAGACTAAACAACTCATTTTCTTTCAGATTTTTCAAACTTTTTTCAAACTTTCAAAATTTCACCATTGAAGGTCGTTTTCCCAGTTCCTTCGGCTCTCTCACATTTTTCAAGTGCATTATGAATGCGGGCCGATAGGAATCGGTGAATATGCCATTACAGGCTAAAGAAAACCTCTGTACTATTACAAGTTCGAAGTTCGATCTTTTGCCTGGTGAGCGTAATCGGTAAGTACTTGGGAAGCAGAGATATGGAATTAAAATTGTCCGAAGCAGAGTATCTTGCCTTCGGCTCAACCTTTCTTTGAAACATCAGTTATCATCGCACTTAATCACGAATACCAACTGCAACGGTCACTTTGATCGTTACGGGTAGTTCAGTCTCCACAGCATGAGTTCATTTCTAGACTGGCATTTTATGGCTCTTCTGCGACAATTTGAAATCAATTTAATTTTTGAAAGGTTTCCCACTTAACAGTTTTTTAAAAATACATCTGGGGTCAGGGTAGAGAAAATGGTGGATGTTGTATGTTGGAATTTCAAAGAAAATTAATGTGAAATATAGTTGACGGATTATTATCTGCTTAGATCTTATACACAGTTATTTGTAATTGGTTATGTGCTTTTAACAAGATCTGCCGTGAAGAGAATCAATCTTGCCTTATTCAAGCAACGATGCCAGTTCCTCCACACGGAACCCTCCGGCTGCTGTCAGTTTACCACCTACGGTTTGCGTTTTTGACGATGATGTGGAGATTGTACCAATGGAGACCAGTCAAATACCAATGAGTACTTTCTCTGCCAATGCACTTTTTGCTGCTGGTCCAGCAGATATCAGTCTTCGACAAGTTTCATTGGTAAGTATTTCGAATTCAAGTTTGATCTCGATTTTTCCATTTTACGACTCGCTATCGTTGGTGATTAGGAATATTAATGCCTTCAGGATCCTATGCCTGATTACATGTACGGGAAATTGTCTGAGGAATCTCAGATGGCTGATGCTGAATTACAAGACACACCACGTCCAGGCACGTTTTATGCAGCACGTATCGACGATCGTTGGGAACGAGTGCAGTGCATACGGGCCAGTAAAATAGGTAAAGGGATCTTTTTTCTTATACAATCTTTACAAACTCGTCCTATTTTCCTCAGATAAGTCGGCTTTCTGCGTGTATTTGATCGACGTTGGAGCGTTCCATTATGTGAGGGCAGACGCGCTAAGAAGACTCAACTCGAAGACACCATTTAGGAAGATGCTTATGTTCAAATGCAGGGTGAGTTCCAGCTAATTGTCTTTCCTGACACCTAACAGACACCTAACCTGAGGTACCGCACTGAATGCTCGGCATTGTTTTGATGAAAGTCGATCATTAGAATTTTACTTCCTTCGTGAAACCTTATTTTATTTAATAACTTTCACTTCTGCTTTGCTCACTACTTTATCATACTGATTTCCCTACTCTATTACACTGTTTCAGGTTGCTAACATAGTGCCTGTAGGAGGCCAAGATATTTGGAATCGTGAGTCACACGAAGCCGTACGGGAATTCTTCGAAGCTGGTTTAGGAGAAACCGTCATGGTGAGTGATGAGGTGACACGACCATTACTTAGAAGTTTGGCTGCTGCAATGGTCTTGCTAGAATCCTTATGCTGTTTTTTGCTGACTTTCCGACTTGTGTAACCCTCTCCAACCAGTAATGAGTCTTTCGTCTACACTTGCTTCGTCTACACTTTCCTGCCAGTAAAATTTTTCTTCCTACTTAAACCAGTGCCTTATAAAGAGGATGTAGTCGTTTGAGCTCATATTCATCCTTAACTGGCTTTGAAACAAACACTTCTTAGAGAACAATTCAAGTCCGCACGAAATCACAGCGAACTTTACAGTGGACAAGAATTGAATGAACAAGCGTTCGCTGTATTGCTTGAATTCCATTTGCCCGTTGCTGCTGTTTTTCAGTTTTCCAATTATTAATTTGCATTTGGGTTGTTTATTTTGTACAGGTTGTAAAGTTGGTTCGTTGTAAAGATTATTGTGGTTTAGGTGACGCCTGTTCTGAATGGTTGTGGAGTTTGGAAACAACTGAACGCTCCAGCTGTTCCTTTTGTGACTGCTAATATTTCATGCTGTGGACGAGATTTAGCAGACTGGCTTATCTCCCATCGTCTAGCTCTTCCAGGAACAAATTAATTGACAGCCCTGAATCTTGGCAGCTGGTTTCCATTCTTGCCCATACGCATTCAAAATGCTAGGCAATTCTTTTTATGGTACTACTTTATGGTTTTGTTGATGCTGTTCTTGCATAATCATCTTGAATAATGTGATATCCTTGAATATAATGTTTTAGTGTTTGGGAATGTTCTGTGATATTTTTATATGTTTTTTATTTCCCTATTCTTACCGAGCTTAGCCTCTGACAGCTTACTAGAGGTCTCGCGTGTGTGAACGAAGACCATCGTTCGTTTGTTGAGATGCCTTTTTACAAATGTACTTAAAAGCAATAATTTTTCTTACTTTCACCTTCAGTCCTTCAAGTGAAACCGAATGAGTAGAGGCGCTCATCTGTTTGAGTTTTTATATCCCGAGATTTTGTTCCACAAGGAGGGGGAAGGCGAGAAATGTTAAGGTGCGTTGTAAGGGCTGATGTGCTACCCTTTATGCAGCAAATTTGTTCTCTGCCAAAATTTTAAATTCTTTTTAAATTATTCTTTGAATTAGATTATCATATTTACATATGTAAGTAGAAAGTTTTTATATAGATCCATGACAAGCTGATTTGTGAACGTTACGAATGTAATGCATCAGTGGAGTCTGACTTAAGAGGCCTTGTACTCATCGGCCAGTGTTGTTGAGATTATTACACTTGCTTGGAGCTTGTAATATTATATTTAAATATCGTTATATGTAGTGTTTAGTGTGCAAAATTATGAAGATTTCTAAATACTCTACTGTGGTTGTTTTTCCATCAAGTCAGTATATTCTTTTACTTCAACTTTTTTCTTTGAGAAAGTAGTAATTGACGAGTCAGCCTCCTCGATGACTATTGACTTTTCGGAGTCATTTCACAGAATAGCGTCGGGGAAGTGGCAAATGACCTTCCATTTACACAAGGAACTGGTAGACATTAAAGGCTCTAGGAAAAAGTGCATAAGTTCTAATGCTTTCGTTCTAGTCAGTTTTTTAGACAGTTAATTCCTTTCAGGGATGAAGTAATACGGGTATTGGCATAGGAAAGTTGAAGGTAATTGAAGTGTAGCTTAGTCGAATAGACAGATTGTTCTTCTGTATAAAGTTAATTGCAAGGATATATCTTGGAGGCGATTCTGAGCATGGATATGTCTGTTTGGCCTCTCAAAACTTTGTAAACAGATTTTTTTAACAGGCGGTTATTCCTTAGTTCGGCATGCGTATGGCGCGTGCTGGAGTTTTGCGAGCTGTGGTAGTAACTAGTATAGTATGGCTATTGGCTGATGTTGTGGTACTATTCTACTATCTAGATTCTGGTAGTTCTACAAGTTCAGGAACTAGGAAAAGGTGAACAATCATGTTACTTTCATTCGACTTTGTTTTTTTTTNTTTTTTTTTCAGTTCTTACACTAGACAAAGATAAAAAGCTCATCATTCTTGTCAAACTTCAGTGACAGCTGCTGCTTTGACATAAGCGTATCTTCATATCAAACTATTGCCAAATATACGTGACCGTTTCTGTGTTAGAATAGTAATAACTCTTATGTCCCAGATGTATAATAGTTAGGTTCGGAAATGAATGAGAGCATTTTCCTTGAAATGAAGGTGATTATTGCTACCTTTTCAGTGTTATCCGTGCAAATCGATTATCCCTCACAGACAATCGAATACCCATACCATCAGCTTCTGTAGAGAAAGAAAAGAAAGAGGTTGATTAGCATTTGAAATGAAGATATTGAACTTGTGAAATATGGACCAAATCGACATTCAGGTAATTGATGTACCATTCGCAAGAGTTTTGCCGCGAAACTCATCTACCATCGATCCTTTAGTGCAACGGAAATTGGATGAGCTCTTGAGTTGTAAGTACTTTTTTCATAACAGTTTTTTTTTCGTTCTTTGTCTACCAACAACGAATGTGTGTGTGACTAGTGCGAGGGGGGTTTTTCATGTAAGCCTCAGCGCAACTGGGCCAATGACTCATGCGTGCGGCTAATTAGCTGGTGCTATTTTCCTCAAACGGCGATTCTTCCATTAGTTGTTGTTTAATAAGGAGAAATGTACATTCTTTTAATTATTTGTGCATATAACGATGCCAGGCGGCATGATGAGATGCAGCATTCGTTGCTGGCTTCGTATTCGGTTTGCATTCGTTTTGACTCGATGTTTTTTTAAACTGTTGGAGTCACCCTCACATTAGCTGAAATTGGTCTTGAACTTTTGCTACAAATTAATTGGAATAGTTGTATTTTAATCGCACTACATTCCATGTTGAAGTTGCCCTTACAATGTGCTGTTGCAAATAATTTCATCACGCAGCATGCTAGCTTTTCCAGCCCGCTTCAAGAAACTACTTCATCAAGTAGATAGATGAGAAACGTCTCATATGAATTGATGCTTTCATTTGTTTTAGTAAAGTCTTTCCAACCTCCTCAATATGGTGAGAACGGAGTTGGAGTTTCTTTGCCTGCTGAAATGGCAGCAGAGAAGGATAGACGATTCTTGGAGAATCAGTTCAATGTTGTGAGTAATATAGGGTATTTCGATCCTTTACAGCATTCTTAATTTTACAAAACTATCAACATTCAGATTGCTAGCGAAATGATTTCCGTCAACAGGTCCTTACCTGATTATCGTTCTGCCGAGTATGTCACTTTCATTTCTATGTGGTCTTCGACGTTCAAAATCTCGTATTCATTTTTTTTCGAAACGTAGAATTCATTTTTGCATATTTTATGCAGGATGTTACCATGTTTAGATGCCAAGCCAAAACGTTTCTGCCAGACCTGCCAAAAACTTCCATTATTATTGTTTTCCATAACGAAGCTTGGACAACGCTTCTTCGTACTTTGCATTCTGTTGTAAATAGGTAATGTTCACTTCAATGTTTTGTATTGCTTTTAGAACCTTCTTCTGGTGAGGTAATCGATTGAAAAGAAGTTTGCTGTGAATTTCAGATCACCTTTGTCTTTACTTGAAGAGATTATTCTGATTGATGATTTATCTGATAGAGATTACCTCAAAGCTCCTCTCGATGCATACATAAAGCGCTTTCCCGTGAGTAAATTGTATTTATATTTCCCTTCCCCTGAAAATTACTTTTTATTTAATGATGAATATTAAAACCAAACTTTATTCTTTCGAGGTTCCTATGCGGATTGTTCATTTGAAGCGTAGGAGTGGTCTGATCCGTGCACGTTTGACCGGTTCAGGATTGGCTAAGGGGCGTGTTCTTCTGTTTCTCGATGCTCACGTAGAGGTATGAAGATTACGCGCTTTGAAGTCTTTTTTTGAAAGAGGTGAAGAAGCTCGTCTTCGAAACGCTGAACGTAAAAAAACTGGCAGTTGACAGAGTTGGCAGTTGACAGGCTGTGGAAGTTAGCTTATAAAGGTCTATCTACTTGAAGTTTCATCTATATTGTTTTTTTTTTCGATTTTTGAGCATCTATCACAATATATACACGTGATATTTTTTAATATTTTTAAATTTAGACAACTGGAGCGCAAAATATAATTCCTGTAGGGAGCTTCTGTACAAATTCTTTCTTCTAAAACAGTTGGTATTATTGAACTTTCCGTCGTTTCTACATATTTTCCTTACTCCTTTACTGCTCTATCATTGGTATTAGTTGCTCTGATATACGTTTGCTCCTGTCACTGGCGAAAGTTCTGAACTTAGTTGCACTGAGAGTTGCACTAAGAATGATAAAGACTTATCGCTACAGTTATTAGTGCAGTAGGACTCGTGCTCCCTCAAATCTGATGTTATATAAGCTAACCGTTGCGATTCTTGTTTTACTTTCATTGACATATCAGAACTCGACTTATCCACCGTGCATTCGGTGTTATTTTGTTGGAAGGTGGATTCGCCCGTAATTTAATTGATATTGTCTTCTTTGTCTTCAGGTCACTGAAGGCTGGCTTGAACCGCTCATAGACAGAGTGGCCAGAGACAGAAAGCGTGTAGTAGCTCCTATCATCGATGTGATCTCGGGTAAGAGTTGTTCAGAGCCATTGTATCAAGGTAGTCGTAAGTCATGCTTCAGTAAACTTAACCACTATTCAGATGATACTTTTGAGTATGTAACTGCTTCTGACACAACTTGGGGAGGTTTCAATTGGCATTTGAACTTCCGATGGTATCCGGTGCCAAAGAGAGAAATGTTGCGAAGGAAGGGCGATCGCGCTTCACCTATTCAGTGAGTTGGAAAATTGGATTAGTTATTTTCTGAGTATTCTTGTCGTTTTTAGAACGCCAACCATTGCTGGAGGTCTTTTCGCCATCGACAGGCAGTTCTTCTACGATATCGGCTCTTATGACGAAGGCATGCAAGTATGGGGAGGAGAAAATCTAGAAATATCATTCAGAGTAAGTTTTCTAGCGCTAGTTTCTCAATAACAGTTTTTCATATAGAGAATTCATGTTTGTTCTATTGTATCACCAGTTCCTACTGTTCACTAACTAGGTTTCGTTAAAACTTTCGCATTTTATTTATTTTTCTGGATTTTAAGACATTTCTCTTGTTACTGTTGAGTGAACTCCATTTCCTGATAGGAGCATCGTTCAAAGAAAGAGTTGCTAGTTGATTGTTCATTTTGCTTCGGTTGTTTCAGGTGTGGATGTGTGGCGGATCATTAGAAATTCATCCTTGTTCTCGTGTTGGTCATGTGTTCCGCAAACAAACACCTTACACCTTCCCCGGCGGCACTGCTAAGGTTTTTCATTTTTGATGAAATTCTGTTCGATAACCTGCCTGGATTTTAGACAGAAATAGACGAGGCGGCACTATATTCCCTATGAGTAGCAGCAGGATATATTCGAGTTATCATCATTACAGGTTATTCATCATAATGCTGCTCGTACCGCTGAGGTATGGATGGACCATTACAAGCAGTTCTTCTATAAGACTGTTCCATGTTGGTGATATTTCGAATCATATTTCATTAATATTCTTTTTGTCTCATTCATACTATGAGTTGTAGCTGCGCGTAATGTTGATCCTGGTGATGTGTCTGGAAGGAAACAGCTCCGCAATAATTTGCAGTGCAAAAACTTCGAATGGTAAATTTCTTTATTATTTCAAAGATCTGAGGAATCTTAATGCTTCGAATTGGGATATTTTATAGGTACCTGAAAAATATTTATCCGGAAGCTCCACTACCATATGATTACAAGTCTTTGGGGGCCATTGCAAATCAGGTACCTTTTGTACTTTGTGCTTGCATTTTAATTATACAGGCTGATTTTATCTTCTGTTCTCAGGGAACTAGGCTATGTCTTGATACCATGGGTAAGAAGGATGGACCTGTTGGCATACAGACATGTCATGGATCAGGTGGAAATCAGGTCCGATATATTTGGCATACTTTACCCTCCCTATCTTTTTTATTTATTTACTTTTTGTCGTAATGCTATTTTCAATGCAAACATATGAAAAATGGTAACATGTGTTTTGAGAAGGGGCTCACATGGGGAGCGTTTGAAGCTGACGATCAGGTTTTTTACTGCTAACTATTTCATTTCTTCTCGGTTCTCCTTATTTCTTTATGTTGGGTGTGTTGCTATGTTTCAAGGGGACCTGGTTACCTTATTTCATGCTATCTGTACATTTCTGTTTTATAAAGTGTGATGAGAAATCCGTTACGATATCGACCATCATCCATCATCTAGCTACCTGATCCTTGTATCGGAATTTTCGAGCAGTTCCGAGTAGTGAAAGAGATGAGCTCTCGTGGTTTACCGTGCGCAGGTGGCTACTCTGTACTTAGGTGCAAGTCGACCTAACTCTGTACCTAGGTGCGAGACGACCTAAATAAAGCGCGGAAATCCAAAGGTCACTTTGCTGAACGCGAATCCTCATTAATTGATTCAGAAGGAAT